CCAAACCGTACATTGATGACTTCCATACACCACCACTACTAACTTCAACTCCTGAGTCATTTTCTTGTTCTTTATTCTGATCATTTGACTTTGACTTTTTCTTATCATTTGAGTCATTGATTTCATTCTTCTTCTTTTCTTTTGATTTGTTCGCTTTGATTTCAGATTTTCGTTTTGGTTTCGACTTTGACTTTGATTTCGACTTCGATTTCATGTTTAATCTTTTGATTATTGAAGCTGACTTTGATGTTGATGGTCCAGTGGTAGCTTCTTCACTGATGCTGCCGTCTGAATTGTTATCAGACATTGGTGAGGTGGTTTGGTTGAATCGAGTGAGAGGGGACTGTGGTGGTGATCGAGAGTAAGAAGAATAATGATGGTGATCGAGAGTAAGAAGAATAGTGATGTTTGTATGGTTTTAGAGGAGACTTGATGGTTTTCAAGTGGTTTGACAGGTTTAGTACGGTAAACGTGGACTTGTCCAAAATCAAGGAAAAGTCAGAAAGAGAAGAAATCCAAAAAAATTAGCTATTACTTTTTCTAAAATGAATGGCACCCCTGGCCCGAGAAAAAAAAAGTTTCCAGTTGCCGCAGTTGCCGCAGCCAGTGCTGTAGACCAACTGATGCATTCAGATCAGCTAGCTGACGCGGCCTGCTCATGAGCACTGTAATGTGCAATCCCTCACCGATCTTCCTCAGTCTCACCTGCGATGGGCTTTCAACGTTATCCCCCCGATGTCAAAGTTCTTGCCGTTCGTTGGCGACTAGAAGGTGAATCTTGCTCCACAATCCGCCAGCGCCTTCGACGGGCTATCTCAAAACGCTCATTCAGCCGATGGACACAGCTTTATCATCGCACTCGAGCAGTAATCCGGGACCCTGCTGAGTATGAGAAACGCGGTCGAAAGCGGTTTCTGAATCGAGCGGACCGTCAGTTCATGGAAACTCTAGTCCAAGAACAACCATCCTTGTTCTTGGACGAGATCCGTGAACAGCTCTATGACGAGCATGGCAAAATGCCTTCAATCAGTACGACTCATCTAGAACTTCAAAATCGTCTGTTCATCAGTTTGAAGAAAGCTCAAGTAAGCAATGTTCGAAAGAGCTTGGTAGCAAAATATCAATGGATCGATAAAATGATGGGCTTTCCAGCCAACTTTTTGGTATTCACCGGTGAGGAGCTTTTTGTGTTCTCAATTTTCTCGCACTTTCTCAATGACTTGACACTCTCTGATTGTTTCACTTCACTATTGGACAGATGAGAGTGCCATATGTGGACGTGATCTCCTTCGCATCCGTCAGCGAGCCAAACTTGGTGCTCGAACGACTCGCAAAGTACCAAGACTCCATCGGGGTAGGTATTCTGTCCTCCCAGCAATTGGTTACCACGACCTCCTGGCTCTCTCTGTGCTGGACGGTCCGGTCAATCGAAAGCGCTTTGAAGCCTTCCTAAAATACAAACTTGTACGTATGTAGATTCTTTGGATGATCTTTTTGATGACATTACTGATTCCCAAAGTAATTCATTAGCTACCCCGAATGAATCGCTACCCTGGCCCTAACAGTGTCCTGGTTCTGGACAACGCATCTATTCATCATGGAGGACAAATTGCTGCTCTTTGTCAACAAAAAGGTACGTTGTTTTTCTTATTCAGCTTTGAATAGCTTGATTGTCTCCAATATCAGTGACTAATCTACACCTGCTCTGCAGGTATCCTTCTGCGATACCTACCTGCTTATTGCCCCGAACTGAATCCAATTG